CGCATGTCTCGTGGCTTGCTGACGAGCTAGCCGCAGGCAGGGCTTTAGGTGCCACGGTGGGCGGGCTTGGCTGGATGAACACAGCTGAACAAAGCGTGTGCCCTGTCATGCTGCTTTTCAGGAAAGTAAAGGCATAGCTTGTCCAGGAGATGACCTGGCCAGAAGTTATTGTCGCTTGACTTTTGCATCTGATTCCTCACAAGATGCCTGCGGAAGAAGGGGAAGAAAAAAAATACATAAGAGAGAATAGCATGCTTTACAGAAATAAAATTCTGGGCAGCTTCACTGCTCCTCTTTGTAAGAGCGAAAGGGAGCCTGACAAGAACCAGCTCTCTGGGCTTGCAGGCCCCGGCAAGCTCTGCCAGACCTGTGCAGACCATGTCCGTCCTTAGCAGACATGACTGACACTTGGGAATGACAGCTTGCAAAGCTGTCTTCAGAGCTGCTGTGTTGCCCATCGCTGTGGTATCTGAACACTTCAGCTGAGAAAAACAAAGCAGCTTGTGCTCTGCTTTGCAGTGTCTTTTTCTCTCCAAAAGCTTCTCCAGCCACCCTCAGCTCAGCTCGTCAGGACTGTCTGTCTCCCACAAGAATGAGCATTCTCTGAGGGGATTTCAGACAAGCCTTGGGTCGGTCTGAGCAGAAGTTTTGCCACCTCTGTACTTCAGAGCACAGAGCTCGTCCCAGCCTGTCTGCAAGGCTCCTGCCAGGCACCACACACTGTGCACTGGCACCGCTGCAACCCACTCACGCCGTGGCTAAAACGCAGGAGAGGCCGTGTAGCTGAGAAGAGGATCGGCCTCTTTGCTGTCGCTTGCTGCTCCCTTGCAGCATCCTACTGGTTCACTCCAGTACCTCGGTACTGCCTCTGACGCCGTGGGGACTCAGTACAGGGGGGTGATAGGCAGCGGGGCAGCAGGAGGGGGCTGGTCCTAAGCTCTCTTTGAACAAACCTAGGTTTTGCCTCCTTGGCGTGGCTTCCAGATGCCGCTCCTGATCTGGAGGTGCTCCCAGGTGACAGACCATCAGCACGTCCCGGGCTGTAGTATCCACCAGGCTGCCTGATCTTCCTAACCTCTTCTCCCTCCTTGATGATCTTGTCTCCTGGGTGCAGCAGAGCTGTGGGCAAATTGCACAAAGAAAACAGTCACGCCAAACCTTGTAGGCGTAGCAGTCTTCAGCTGAGCCGCAGCCTTGTCTGCTCCCGGCTATGGACGTGCTGATCCTGACTACGGTCTCATTTCCCAGCTTGACTTTGCACCCGCCCCATCATCGCAAACTTGCCACTCTCCGTTGAACCCGACTATGGTCCCAGGGGCAACGGGACAGGGCCCTGGCTCATCTGCAGCACCCTTTGATATCTCAGCCCTGCTCTGGCCCTGCTGAGGGTATTGCTGATCGTCACCGGCAGCATCTGCCCTCATGGCTCTCCGAGGGCTGCAAACGGGCTCCCTCGGCTGCACACCCTGACATCAGTCACGCTTCTGGGCTTGGGAAGAGACATGGACTTGTCAGATGTAGTGCACTGACATCACAGGCTCTTGGGCTTTGCTTTACCTTTCTGCAGCGTTGGCTCAGTGATGGGAACACCGCGCTCTTTGCACAGCTCGGAGCTCTTCAGATAAGTCGTGACGGCATCCCTGCGGTACCGGTTGACCAGTTCTCCCAGGTCAGCCTCTACCGTTGATGGCAGGCAGTGCTCATCCACGGGGCCATCCCCGGACCTCACCATCCGGCACTTTTCTTTCCGTTCTATCGGGCCGTCTTTGTTCTGCAAGTCAAGGGCAGGTCCCCATTAGCATTCAGCGAGGCCCTGGAGTCGCTCTGTTCCCAGAGAAAGTGTTGAGCTCACCAGAGCATTCAAGAGTAAACAAACTGTTTGGAAGGCCTTGTAGCATCTCAGCTGCAGGGCACCGTGTGGTCAAGGGACTACTGAGGAGCTAAGATGCACACTAATTCCTTGCCCTTTCCTTTGCTGCTGCACTGTCCTCTAAACCACCCCGCATTGGCCAAGGCACGCGGGGACGCTTCTTAGCCTGCCCCGTACACAGTACCTTCTCCCACCGTCTCCTCTCTCTTGTCACTTTCCCAATCTCTTCCATTTCATCACAGCTCAGATGTCGTCGTTCTGGCTCCGTGTTGACTGGAGGGACTTCCAAGCACGTCAGTGTTCTTTCGGGCATGGTAGGAGCATGGGGCTTCATCCGTTTGGCTGTGCCCCCAGCAGAAGGTGGACAAGTGGCAGTTTTGCAGGTGGCTTTCTGCAAATGATCTTCTACACCTGGTAGAGATTCAAAACCAAACAAAAAGCCCAGAGAAGCCATGTTAAATCATGCGCAGCAGACAGCAACATCTGATCTGTGTTGAAGAGCAAGGTGTTTGGCAAGTTGTGCTGACTGGAACTCCCGACAGAGATTCCTAAGGAACAAGCTCTTCTCAATCGGTGTTTTCCAGCTGACGCCAACAGCGGGAGAAGGGTCTGCTTTCGATGGGCTGGATTATGAATGCTACCAAACAACATCCCGTCCAGGATGTTAAACCGCAAGGTTCAGGCTTTGATCCCAACCTGAAAGAGTGGACAACCTCTCTCCTGCAGTTGGGCTGACTACGGTATTGCACACCCCCCAGATCCTACAGCTTTTCCCAAGCAGTCTCCCTCTGGCCACTCTGCTCGAGGACAACGGTCTCAAGAAGCCGTATTCTGGACCCACTTTGGCATTTCCTGACTCCATAGAGAGGCTTTCCCCAACCCCGGGCTCTCCTCTTACCTGTTTGGGTCTCTTGGGGTTGTCCTTTCCTCATTTCCAGCCACTGCTTTTGGCAATTCATCAGATCTTGGGGGCTTATAAAATTCCCCGGTTTTGAGGAAGTCAAGAAGATGACCACATCCTCCAGGTCCTTGTCGCTGATGGGAACTTGGACCTGGCAACCAAAGCAGAAAATGACAGCGGGATCACCACAAGGTCACCGCTGAAGCTCTTGCATTTCTTCTGGACTGGCATGCAGGAAAATAGGGCAGAGTTACAGCCATTCATTAGTTTTCCATTCCCTACGTACCTCCCTGATGACTCTGATGAAGTCTGCTCTCTTGATCTTCCTCCCGTCCATACCAGCCTTCTTGAATACGTTCACCATCGTCAGCTTCTGCTCGTGCAGGAGGTTATGCAGCCTGACCAGAGCCTGGGGGTACGGCGCACAAACAAGGGGAACGCCACCCTTCCTGCACGGCTGGCTGCTCTTTGGTGCTGAGCGCTGAAAAAAAAGCAGAAAACACCCTGAGATCACCGCTCTCCAGGATCTCCCTGCCTGTCACTGTGGCGTCAGCTGGGGTAAAGCGGCGTCACTCTACTGCTCCCACAGCAGACGCCATTTCCCATGCACTTCCGCGCTTACGTCCGGGCTCTGGGTCATGGCTGGTTTGACAGCAGCCTTCCTCTCTGCTCGGCGTGCCCTTATGCTTTGCCAGCGTGCTGCTTCTTGATAGCTGAGGGCAGGTTTGTGAGCCAGCCATTTTTCCACGTCCCCCAAGCTTTCCAGCTCAGATCGAAGCTGCCTCCTCGCCTGAATCCAAGCCTCCATCGCTTGTAGACCCTCCTCTGTGTTGGAGGTGGCCTCTGGGGAGCTGAGGCTGTCGTCTTCCTCCTGGGGCAGCTGCAAGGCAGACAAATGACAGAGACCCGTGGCTCGAGTTGGTTTCACAAAGGGAGAAGCTGGTCTGGCCCCAGGTGGAGCAAAAATAATGAGACATCTGGATTGGGATGGCCCACACCTGCCTGCTTGCAGTTTAAAGGCAAACATTGGGCAGAGAGCACGAAAACAGGTGGGTCCTGCCATTTCACAACATGCTGGCTCCTGGCCACCCAGGAGCAGCTGAAATAACCTATCGGCCATTTTGCTGAGGAAGAACGGCCAGGATGCTCTCCACGCTAACTGGAGAGACGGCTCTCTCCCTCCACGCCGCCCGCTGGAGCTGGCTCAAGCCATGTCACTGGGAGAGCTCCTGCTCCAGCTCCAGAGCCGGCGCCTGTGCAGAGGGGGCCTCCTTTCCCGGGACAGAGCAGGCCCGCTGGCCAGCTGCTCGTTTTGCCCCTTGGCCTCTACGGGCAACTCCTCCTCCCTCGCAGCAGTGAGCAGGCGAGGAGGAAAACCACAGCCACCCGCCCTGCTCTTTGGAGTTAGCGATGCTGCTGGGACTTGGAGCCCTTCCCAACTCGGTGCCACCCCAGCCAGAAGGCGGCTGCTCTCTTGGTACTCCCGTACCTGGGCCCTCTGCAGCTCGGCGCGTTCCCTCCCAGCTTGATGGTGAGGCAAGTTTGGCAAGATGACCCTTCCTGCTTTTCCGTTCTCTTCCTTCTCCGCCCTTTCGGCCTTGCATGCCTCCAGGTTTTTTCTACCACGCAGCCCAAATACAGACTCTCTTTTCTACAGGAACCCAGAAATGCCATAGCAGCGGTCAGTCTTATCTCTTTGACTTTTTTTTTAAAATAAGCTCTTCTCTCTCATCTCTTACAGGTGCAACCAGAAAGCCCTTCTGTTTTGACCAATGAACTGAGTCATCAGAGCTACTTTTTGAAAAGCGCTACAGGCTCTTTTCTGAGATGAACAACACCCAAAATCGGGAATGGAATGGGAAAACGATCCACGGTGAGAAGAGATCTACTCAGAATCGGTATCTGCGTATTTTTTTATGTACCTATGTCTCCTAAGATGTCCCCAGTTGATTTTCTACAAGCAAGTGACACAACAATTGCCTCAGTCCATCTTACGTACCTGTCCCGTCTGCCTGTGCTCTTCAGAAGCAGGCAATGGGAATTCAGGGCTCTCAAAAGGGGTTTCTTTGTGCTGCCTTCCTTCCGTGCCTGCACGTTGTGGCAACAGGCTGAAAACACACACCAGGGTGAGTCGGTACGAGTGCAGGAAGAGCTGCTTCTCCACCCAGTGCTTCAGCAGCAGAGCGAGCTCTCTTTACCCAACTGCCTTCCCCTCCACAGGGACAGCGATAGCCCTGAGCTGGAACGCTCAGATGTGCCGCCAAGGAAATCAAGGAGATGCGCTTTTTCCAGGAGGAAGGCTCCAGGACACGCAGCCTGATGCACCTGGAGATACTGGTATCCCCCTCCTGGCCGTCCCACTGGCTACTGCGAGGCAGTCCCAAATCCTGTGGGACTTCCCATCCAGCAAGGGAATGCACTGTCTGGTGATGGGTGTTAACAGCCCTTCTGAGTTAATACAAACCCTGGGTCCAAAGGAAAAGGGCAAACGGGTTTCTCAGAGAGCTTGGGCAGTCTCCATCCCTGAAGGCTTTGAAGACAAGGCTGTATAAAGTCCTCAGCAACCTGGCCCTGACCTCAGCTCAGAGCTCACTGCTTGGAGCAGTTGGTTGGACTGGCACCTCCCGAGAGCCCTTCCAACCTCCGTTATTGTGTAAGCCTATAAAACATCCCGCACAACCGCTAAAAGCACAAGGCGGCTCTAATTGAGTCCTTCCAGAGTCTCACCTGCCATGAGGCCCTTTTCCCTCCATTTTCTCCTCTGCTTCTTCCTCCATCTCAGCTCTGGCTAAGAGGTCTGGAGAAGAGCACCTTCGCAGAAGGCGTAATGTGTGACGAACGGCCGCTGCAAGCATGAAAGGAGAAAACCTCTCAGAACAGCCAGGAGGAGGCACAGATCTTCTCTGCCACGTTAGAAGCTCTTTCAGGCCTCACTAGGATTCCTTCTGTGACCTGTGTTCTCGCAGGGAGCTCTCAAGCCCTTCCTCACACCAGCCCTTGATCCTGCTCAACCCTCGATAGCCACATTACTCTCTTTGGGGTGAGTTTTCTCCTGCTGCCGCCAGCCCCAACTCTGCACAGCAGCTTTCAGGGGGAGACAGATCCTGGCACTTAACAATCTCTTTCGGGGGAACAATTCCTTGCCATTGCATACGTGTCCGGTATATAAAAATTTGCTATCATGGCACATTCAACTCCGACGCGTTATAGCCCTGATGTTCCCAAGGAATTCAGGTGGAGGAGCTAGACTTCCCAGCTCTAAAAGAGAAGTGAGGTCTCAGCACAGCTTAGCAGCCTTTGTCCTCTGCATGCTTTTACTCATTGAATCACACTGCGGTGATTCCAAGAGATACGCCAACGCCCCAGTCTCTCCCACAACTCAAGGCAGAGGTTGTGTTTCAGGGTGCCGACGCACTTCCCCGTTTACTTCCCCATTTACTCCCCCCTGCACAAACTCCTAGAAGGGAAGAGCTATACTCCAGGGCACCGAGTGCAGGGCCAACGCCTACTTCAGCCCCGTCATCTGCGGTTGGTGGTGCTGAGCCCTCCTGGGATCTGGCTCCAAAGCAAGTCCCTTGAGATTTACCAGGAGGGGAAAGGAGAGGCACACCGGGTGCCTCTACCATCCCAGGCATCTATCGTAGCCTGGGCCCTAAACGCCCCCCAGTAATGAAGACAGGCAAAGGCGCACACCTCTGCCAGGAATCAGTCCCTACCATTACCTCTTATTCCCATGTTGCTCAAAGCACTCTCGAGTTCCGTAACTATCTCCTTGTCTCCGAGAGAAGGTCTTCGAGGCACTGCCTTAATCCGAAACCTGGGAATAGGAAGGAGGCACCGTTGTGAGAAAAGGGCTTCTTTGCCAGACAAATGTCAAGGTACCTCTCTCGAGTCAACCCCACCTCCTAGGCTACCAAGGGAACCACTGAGAAGCGCTGGCCTCAGGCATGGCTCACCAGCCCCTCACCAGACAGAGGCTTTGCTTTTTTGCCTCAGCCCTCCTGGGCCATCTCGACCCAAGAAGGCATTTCAGAGAGACTTTGATTCACGTGAGTTTCACAGAAGGCACGGGAACCTCACAGGCGGAGGACTTGCATGCATCCGGCCTCTGATCCACCCTCTAAGAGAAGCTTTCCATGTTATATTCAAAACAAAGGAAATGCTAGGACCTTACTTCTGTTAGATGGTTGGGCGCTCCCTACCAATGGAAAGAGACTGAGCAGGCGACACGTTAGGAGGGTTGCCTAGATTCCTCTGCCTAGCAAACCAGTTCCCTCCGATGGGAATAATGGTAAACCGCAAACCCCTATCAGTAACGGAGGATGCGTAACTCCAGACTAAGCAAAAGCAAGGATGAAGTTAACTGCAAACCAGAAATTTGACGGAGCACTGCTAAACATGAGCTCAGCATATCTGCGCTTGGTCAGACCAGGGCTGCAGAAACAAATATACTCACTGTGGAAACTGGTAGACACGGCCAAAACAGCTCGGAAGCAGAGTGACTTCTTTAGCCGATACGACCCATTTCTTCTGCAACGGGGACAGAAACATCTGACGTGACTCCAGGGAAGTGAACTCAATGCTTACAGTGGCCTTTCCATAGCCCCAAGAATTAGCGTCCCCTCAGCAAACTTCTGGCCAAGAGCGCTTCAGCCCCTTGCTAAACCAAGCCGCACAGCGCGTCATCTGCTAGGGCGAGGAACGTCGCCAGCCTTTTTGCAAGGACAAGAGCTGACGGCGTCAGGCAGGAGACTCCTTGTTTACCAGGGAAGAAGTCAAGGAACCCAGCCACCGGCTCCTTCTCCTCCAGTTCTCAGGCCAGGAGAACTACACCAACAGCGTGCCAGCAGCCACGAGGGGCTGGTCTCAGCAAGGCCTTGGCGTCTCTCTGCCTCAGGCTCATGTCCAGAGCGTGGGGTGAACCTCATCCTCCCTGCCGTTGCTTTGGCCTTCTTCCTCTTTACGGCAAGGCCCTTCCAGGGCTTCCCCTTGCCCAGCAAAAGCAGTACTGCGTACCTTCCCAGCACCCAGCCAATAAAGAAACTGCAGAGAGCTTTCACTGCCACAGACCATGCCTAGCCCAAGTGACCCAGCGGGTTACAGGCGGCCAGCAGGGCTCGGTTCCCCAGTCCTTTGGTGGGATGTCAACCCACTCTAAGTAGCACTGGAACAACACTAAACTTACGTCGAGCAACTTCTCTACTATGTACGTGGACTTGTTGAGGCGTAGTAAAAAGTCTTCGCAAAATGCCACTGTCACTTCTGTTCCCCGGATAGCAAGGGTGCCAAAATCCTTTAAAATGAAGTCCGTGTCCCCTCTGTTTGTTAGGATGAAGTAGAAAAAGTCCAGGGTCTCCTGCATACAGTTCTGCACGACTTCCTTGGAATAGGGGACATCCGAGCGGATCTTCTTGTAGCTCACTGACACTTTCTTCATCTCATCTGGAAAAGAGGAGGGAGACTCTAACTCCAACAGCAGCCAGCAGGCGTCCTACAAATCCATAAATATGGCTGGCACGAAGCTGCTTGCTAAAGCAGGTCATGGGGAGAGGGTCTGACTTTGTACAGCCTTAATAAAAACGAGTCCAGAAGAAACGGCCCGTTTCCAGGCATTGCTACCCGGTGGGCTGTTTGTGTCACCCCACGGAGGTTGTTCTCAGGGCCTCCTGAAGGCCTCTGATGCATCCATCACTGCTTCTAAACAGCAGCCAGCATAAACCCCAACTACACGGGACACAGGGGAAAACAGCAGCTTGAATTGCTGTTCTTACCAGGAACAGGCGCAGAAGCATGTCGCAGCTTACGGATCTGTGCAACAGTCCCGGAGAGCGAGAACAGAGGCCTCTGAAACGTGAGCACCTCACCATTTTCAAAAGAGCGCCATTTTTGAATATGAAATGTCCCCAGTCCTGTTACACTGACAGCCAGAGGCTGGAAAAAGAAGGGAAGGGCAAGCATTTGTAGGTTGAAAAACAGAGCGAGGGCTTGTGAGAGTGCCAGGGGGGTGCCTCGTGCCCTGACGTCTCCTGGGGCAGAACACTTTTGCACACCTCAACCAGATTTTTATTTCTGAATTTATATATTGCAGATATATAACACATATATCTATATTATGCTATCGATTAAGTTAATGCCTCTCAATTTACGGAGAAGCTGGTCTTTGGCACGTTTGTGGAAAGTCTGTAAATGGCAATGCAGCTCTGGGAAGAACAAGGGCACTTGCTGGCACAGGGCTGCTGGGACCCCTGAAACCATCTTGGGGGAGGGGAGGGGTAGGGTAGGATCCCCCCTTTCCCTCCAGAAGCTGTTGCTGAACGTGCTCAGACACGCTGCTCCAAATAGTAACAACATCTGGAAAGCAAGGGAAAGACACGTCAAGCTCTCAGCCAGCCAGCTCGCGGCCCGTCAGCACATCTGTAGACCAGGAGATGGCAGGTGCAAGGGCGCTCCAGCACGCCTGGCAGGATAAATCCATTTGTGCCACGGGCTGAGCCTTTGAATTCCAAACTGTCCTTCTTCCAAACAGGACAGCGTTCCCTTCCGAGCCAGGGCCCTGAGCGTGACCCGCTGCTGAGAGAAACCCGTCCGTGGCACCTCCACCACGGCAAGGGGAGGCTGCTGCGTGCACCGGACTCTGCGGGGCTCAGGGTGTCCCTAGGGGCCTCCCCCGCTGCGACGAACCCCACTTCCCACAATTTGTGCCGTTCATCTTGTCTGCCCTGGTGCTCGTCAGGCCTTCGGGCCTTACCGTGGACGGAAAGCTTCTTGAGGGTGGGAAACGTGACCGCGCTGCAGCCGTCAGCCTGGCTGCAGAGCTCGATGTTGGTGATCAGCGCTTCCAGGTTTGTCATGTTTTTGCCGTGGGTCAGCACGTGAGGCTGCCAGGGAAGGATTTTGATGTCTCCCACTGGGAAAC